GGATATAAGTATATTAAAAGAAGAAAATCATGACAAACATAATAACAAATCTCCAAGAAAGAAACAAAGAACTATCAAATTGCATTGCTGATATAGAAAAGCAACTATCAAGTAAAGAACAAGAATTTAAACCATTGAACAACGAACAAATTAGGCAATGAGTGATTAGTATTCTAAGCAGTAGTTACGGATCTGATATGGATGTAAAGGCACTTGATATAATTATGCAGTGTTATTGCAACCAAGAAAATTGATCTGCATTTTGTAAGTGATATCCTACTGAAAATATTCGTAGAGATATAGTTTACAATGCTTATAAGTTTAATCATTACTACAATCTCACAAATAAACTTTATGGAGTAAGAAATGATGCTAGAAAAAGCATCATTCTTAACCTCATCAAATTAAACTCTGAAGAAAGCAAAGAGTTATTTAGGAAATGATTAAGAGAAGGCAAATTAGAAGATAGTTTAACTCTAAAAGAATTCTTAGAAGAAGGTTATAAAAGTGATCCAATAAGTCAAAGTTGTTATTCTTATTTAGACATCAGAAACCTTTCTCTGGATGAGTTAATTAATAGTTGGAATGAATTAACTGCTAATGCATTTAAACAAAAGCAAGAATACAAAGTGAAAATAGCAGAACTGGAACCAAAAAATAAGGAGTTAGAAACAAAGTTAGGAGAATCAGAAGAGGAGGTTTGGATGGAGCGAGAAGAAGCTGAAAAAGCACTAAACACAGCTATGAAATGGAGAAAGCGTCAAATGTTTGAAACAGTGCTAAAACATGATGCTGCAATGGGAAAACTTCTGGATCGAATAGACTTGTTGGAGAATAATTTAGCTGCTAAGAATCAAGAAATAGACTGAAGGAATTATTTAGAAAACAAAGAATTACCATCTTTACCAAAGCAACAAAAAGAAAATAGGCTACATAAACTCAAGAAATTAATAAGTAAAGTTAAAGAAAAGAGTAAGGAAAAATTCCAAACTTTTATCATTCAAAAGAAGTAAATATGAGATTAGAATATAGAGTTTTAGAAATAGCAAAAGGAGATGAGCAAGAATGTAATTTTTGTTTTCTAGATTTTGATGATCCAACTAATTTCAGTCTTGATACTGCTCCTGCTACTCACCAAATGATAGGTCATAATACTCCTGATGGTTATGCTGACATAGTTTTTATTTGTGGTGAATGTAAAAAAGATTACAATAACAATATTCTCCCGTGTTGCGAGAAATGTGGTAGGTTAAAGAGAAATAGAAATAGGTGCCTTTGTAGTCATTTAAAAGCTAAATCAACTAAACCACTTTCTGATAAAGAATTACTTTCACAAGCTTTCAGTTCTCGTTTAGAAAACAAAACTAGAGAACTAGAAAGAGAGTTATCAACCACTAAAGAAGAATTAAATATTGAGAGGGAAGAAATAGCCAAATTTCAAGAGAAATCTGAAGAATGGAGCAAGAAGCAAAAACAAGAGTTGTTAGATAAGATTAAACAACAAGAAGCAGAAATTATTAAATTGACTCAGAAAATTGAACAATTGAAAACTTTAACCCCTCAAGAGTTAGTCAATAAGTTAAAT